AAAAAATTTCTCTAGTATTTAGCACATTGTGTGAGCATCATACACCAATGTGATAGAAAACTACTGCACACCCTTCTTTAAAATAATTCTTCTGAAGGTTTTAAAATATGAAATAAGGTATCACTTCCAGATTCTGTGCTTTCCAAGTTACACTCACAAGCCATAGCATCTGCAAACAATCCACTGTGTGGCACTTCACATATAAAGTTACATCAGGGCCAGATGCATCTATTTCCACTATCTTTTAGCTACTCTGTCGTAGAGGTTTTCATGGAAAGACAACAGGAGGTAGACTTGTCACCAGTAGTTAGAATAAAGCAGGTTAATACAGCAATGTCATCCCAAGACCTGACAGTCATTACTAAGGTCACCAGGGTTTGAACTGGCTCCCAGCCAGGTTGACTCAGTATTTACTCTCCAAGGGTTGTTTTGAGATGCCCTGGAGTTTGGAGTTGGCCCAGATGGACCTAAAATTGTCATTCTCTAATGTGGGTGAGTGGCTGAGTCCTAGAAAGACCAAGTCAAAACACAGTGAATCAGATGGGCTCACATGGCTTGCTGAAGTCAGGATTCCACTGAAGACAGCCCATTTCTAAATCTCAGAAGCCAAGGCCAGTTGAAGGGCAGAGTGTGGGAGGTGCTGCTTCCCTAGCTGTAAAGTGCTCTGTGAGTCTGCCTTACCCAGTTCAGATTCTTTGAAAAGGGTCAGACCCTCAATTAGATGGTAGCATTCTGTCTTATGGGCCTGAGCAGCCTATCTGAAAATATAGATGGTGTGACTTGTGATCTCTTGATTTTAAGGAACATAGAGACTCCGTCTACCACTACAAATGATGATAATTTGTTGTAAGAATACACCTTGCTCTACTTTGTATTCCCATGACTATTTTGTAACTACCAATCTGTACTTCTCAATTCTTTCACCTTTTTCAACCATTACACCAACACTAAAAGAGACAGGATGCTGAGGAAACCAAGGAAGAGCCAGGCCTTGGAGAGATGGATCTGGAAGGGCATTTATGGCCCATGGTAGCTCTTGGCCTGGGCCACATTCTGTCCTCTCAACAGAGTGAGTGTGTGGGTCTGATGTGAGCATTCCTCGGTTCCTGGGGCTTAGGGGCCCTTCCTTCTCCACTGTTTTGAATTCTCCACCCACCACCTCATCAGCTCATCATAGTTATCCTCTGTCTGGGGTTCTGTCTCCTTGTAGCTGCAAATTTCTCCCAACACTGCCTCATTCCTGAAGCATTATGTTCCTTCTAAACTCATGTCCTCTCTCAGCCAGCTTCAGCCCTCATGACCAAACCCCCAATTTTGGTCTGTATTTTCCAGATCAAGTTCCATCTATATACAGAAACAGGGTGATTAATCTGGTTGGCTTGGCTAAGGGGACACAGTTTTTCTTCCGGTGCTGGGGTGCTGGCTGCTCCTGGAACAGCAGGGGCAGGGACAGGTACTTTCCAGGAGAGGGCACCAGGCATCGCATCTTCAGGAAGCAAGAATGTTTACCCTGTGCCTTTTAGCTAGTACAAATTATCCAGCCTGGTGCCAAGGGGAAAACACAGTGGGTGGAGGTTTAATTGTAGCATTGCTGTACTCTGCATTTTATCTTAAATTCAGCTGCTTTTCTCCACCCTGCGTTTTAAGCTTTCATCACCACCCAAGTGGGAAGCACCTTTTCCCTCTCCTAATTGCATTACGTACTTTCGAAAACCAGTTATTCATTTAATTATTTATAAACTTAATATTATTGGAGTACATGTTTCATAACAGGCAAAATCATAGATAATGAAGACTTAAAATTCAACCATGTACTTGATAAATAGTAATTGAATACTTACAAAGTATCAAGCATGATGCTGCTTGCCGGGAATATAAAGATAACTAAGACAGTCCCTGCCTGATATCTAATAAAAATTCAATAAATGCTTGTTGAATAAATAAATGCCTTAAAAGACCTCACAGCCTTATTGTGGAGAGAGGCCAGGATGCAGACATGTACAAGGAAAGTGAACAGGGCTAGCTTGGGGAAAGCCTCCTGGGACACCACGATGTTCTGTGTGGGGTAGTCCCAGTAACATCTGCACTGAGGCCTCGATGGTGAGTTGCATTAGTCAAGTGAGAGATATAAGAAGGCAAGAGCCTCCAGGCAGCACAAGTAGTGGGTGCAAAGGCTTGGGCATGGGGGAGGGGCTGCAACCAGGCTGAAGCGCAAATAAAGCTCTTATTATTTAAGGCCTGGCCTGGATGGAATTCTGTGCCTGGAATAGTACAAGGTCCCCAGTTTAGCAACAGGGTCACATGGAGTGTCTGGAGTTCCCTGGGGACATTTTTGTTGCTGCCTGCACCCAGTTGGAGATGGTCTGATGGTGGGATATATCACATCCTATATAATAGAGATATAATATGCAAATGATCGTTATGCCATCAAGCATTATGACCAACTGCATAATGACTGGATCATGGATCAGCAGAAAGGGGTCGGGGGTTGGACAGCAAACTGCAAGTGTGAGGCAGAGAGCTACATGAGGGGGCAGGGCCGCAAGCTATGGGGGGAGGTTTAGGGCAGAGGGAGCTATGGGAAAGCAGAGCAGTGAGCAGAGAGCTACTGGAGGGACATAGCGAGCTACTGCCGCATGGATTCTAGTTTAAACTAAAATTCAAGGTTAAGATTACATATTGCCTCTCAATCTAACCTCTTTTGATTGTCCTCTGTATCTCATCTTGCCCTCCACTGTCCTTGAAAATGCTTAGCAAAAGGGCTGCCTCAGCACCTTTGCATTTGGTTGCCCAAGTCATTTACGGATCTGTTAGATAGCAATTGAGCAGAGAAATCCTCCCTGACTATTCTAAACGAAGTAACTCACCCTTCCTATCCCTCTTTCCTTTTACCCAGCTTTATAATTTTCATAGCCCTAATCACTGCCTGATTTTAAGAATCTCTTGCTACTACTGCTCCCCAGCCTGGAATATATTAGTATGTTTTATGTCTCAAGAGCTTGGCTATGTTTACTTGACTTCTTCTAGAACAATCCTTGGCACAAAGTAGATGATCAAAAAATATTTGTTGAATGAATCAATGAATGAAACCTAATTCTAGATACAAAAATGGAGGTAATATCAGGGACACAAGTAACTTGTGTAGCAATCTTTCTTCTTCAAGCTAAATCAACTTAATTCATAGAACTGTATTTTTCTCCCCCAAAAAGGCATACTTACAACTCTTTCATAATCCTGTTTTCTCTCTACAAGATTCTTGCCATGTTATTCCAGGTTCTTGCGTATGATAGAGTTCAAAATGAACAAAGCCTTCTGAGAAGAACCCATAATTAGCTTTCCTCTTTTGATAGGTTTCATATGTTTGCTTAGAAATACACTTTAAAAGAATTAAATTTATTGGGGAGACATTGGTTAATAGGATCATATAGGTTTCAGGTGTGGATTTCTATGTTATAAGATCTGTATATTGCACTGTGTGCCCACCACCCAAAGTCAAATCACCTTCCTTCACCACATGTTAGGTCCCTTTCACCCCCCACCGTCCATCTGCCCCTCCCTCTTCCCAAAACAAGAAGCCTAAATTCAGTTTGGAGAGAAACAAAGTGAATATTTTATTATTACCTGTTCGTAGTCTCAACACATTCAAAGCATCCTCTCTCTCTCTCTCTCTCTCTCTCTCTCTCTCTCTCTATATATATATATATATATATATATATATATATATAAGCATATATATTAAGATAGATATTAAGATAGATATTAAGATATATATATATATATATATATATATATATATATATATATATATATTTCAGAGGAGATGGGAGACGGAGAGAGAGATAGAAACATCAATAATGAGGCAGTATCATTGGTCAGCTGCCTTCTGCACGCCCCACACGGGGACTGAACCCACAGCCAGGGCATATGCTTCCATCTGGACTCCAAAGGCGACCTCCTGGATCAAAGGACAGCACTCAACCACTGAGCCACGCCGCTGGCTAGGCGCAAAACATCCTCTTGAATACATTAGGGAAATATATGTAATCACCCTCATGAATTTAGCCATGGCTTGTATAGGTTTTTAATCTGTCACTATTTTGTTCAACAAATAAATACCTTCTATGCTCCACTTGTGAGCTAGAAGCTGACACAGTACACAACAAAGAACACTTGGTTCTTATCAGGAATGACTCAGAATCTTGGGCATCAATGTTTCAGTTTCCACTATTGTTGTTTTGAAATTAATTCTCAAATTTGACTTTATTATATTTATTTACAATATTGCTTTTAAGATAATATTTCTATAGTTATAGAAAAAAAAATCTTTCATCCAATGTGAAAAACAAGGGAGCACTATGTTTTGCTTTCCTTAGCCTGCCTTCTAAATTGACTGTGAAATGATTTATATTTTTCAGAGTTTATTTCAATTCTCTGCAAAGGATTTAAAATGGAATACAAAAATCTCAGGTATTTTTCTTTAGCTCAATTTTTTAAACCCTCCTTATCTATAACTTATAGCTTTGTGTTTTATTTATACATCTTTACTGTTTTCCTTTTAAATTATTTTAGAAACACCTTTAAAACATTTCAATTGCTCTTTTGACATTTCACTGATCAATATTTCTCTGAAGGTATTGACTTTCTCTAGGATGCAGAGAGACTAATAGAAATTACACAAAAATTTCTACTGAATGAATTTCTCCACCTTCTTGGTGATTGTACACCTGCTTTCCTTATAAGGAGAACAAGGAAGTAAATCATGTTGAAGTTGCTTTTAAGCACAGCTTTTCTTCTTTACCTGTCCAGGTAGCCTCTGTTTTCATTTGTGTTAAATGAAAACTTTTTTATTTACATCTCAAGTTTCTTTTCAAAGCAGTGTAAGTAGTATTCAAAATCTTACACTTGGAGGAAAAAAAGACTTTAACGATGTTCAGCTTTGGTCTTGTAACGTTGAAGGTAATTCATTTTTTAATCTGTTTGCACAGCGAGAACTGAAACGAATGGGGATTGAACTGCTTTGCCTGTTCTTTCTATTTCTAGGAAGGAACGATCACGTACAAGGTAAGACCTGAGCTCTCCGATATATTGCTTTCGTGGTATGCTTGACAAACCTGTCATTTGGTTCAGAAACTCGATCTGAAGTCATTTTTTATTTAACCGGTTTGATTGCTTTCTTGCCATTGAGCGAACACTTTAACAAATTGCAGGCAGACGCGGGACTGTAAGTAAATAAATACAAAGGTTGCATGGGAACTTTAATGAGGAGAATTAAACAGTCTCACTACACAATAGGACTTCTTAACACATTTGTGACAACCATTTTGTTAACTTTACTAGCTATTTTTTAAAAATATGATACAAGATTAATGACCTTGAGAAAGAACAGCGATTTATTTAAAAACTAAAACTATAGTACATTTAAGAGAGAAGCATTTTAAATGGGTAAAAATATTTTTTTTAATTCAAGTGGATGATAATGAATGAGGACAGTAAATGATGATTTTATATTTGTGAATATTGGAATATTTCCTATTTTAAGAATAAAGAGAATCATCACTTGGGGATAATAAGACATACATATTTTCAATGTGGTTGATATAAAATATAAACTTTATAAATTGGTAACATTTTTTGAGGAGTGATCTTGGAAGACAAAAGTAAACTTTGCTATTGCTTCCTTCAAGTACTTTAAGAGCCGTAAGTCTGGGAAGTAGAGTGACTGAGAGAGTGCTGAATCCCTGTGTTTTGCTGGGTTTAAACACAGGTGGCTGTGCCATGGGAGGTGCAGAGACCTGCGGAGACTGTCTGCTCATTGGACCTCAGTGTGCCTGGTGCTCTCAGGAGGTAAAGCAAATTATCTCAACCGGTTGTAAAAGCCTCAGTTACACTTACTGTAATGTCACCAGTGATGGTTCTGATAGTGTCCTGCTCTCTGTGGGGTTAGAGAAATCTAGGAGGGAAAATGTAAACATTAGTAGATGGATTCAAAGTAGTCATTGCTGTGATTACTTTCAAAAGCAATTTGCAGAGGGAGTAAATGTCAAATTATTCTGAAAAATATTTAACGTGGAGGTCTGTTATTTCTCCTGATTCCTCCCCTTATATTAAAGCCATTTTTAACTGTTCACCAGCCAAATGCCATCAGAGGTCATGGAGATGTTATTTTCTAATGTTAAAAGTATATTGAGTTCAGTACCATCGTTATAGTTTACCTGTGAACCAGGACCCATTCTGAATCCTTGCGAGATTCTAAGAGAAGCATTCTAGATTTGGGTTACTTAAACTTTACTATTCAGACATTACACAGTTCTTTTAAACATTACATTTTCATGAGCGCGGTGACTGTACCACAGTGACCAAGCCCAAAATAGCATTCCTTATCTGATCAAATGGAAAAGTATGTGGAATTAGTACAAGGACTAGGCAATGTATTATAAGCCAGCCTGAGTCACTGCCTCCTGTGACACTAGAAAGCAACCTGAAATGATTCCTGATAAAAATAAAAAAATAAAAAGAAGAAGCTGCTTTGCTTTTTCTGGATTTAGAACACTTTGCTATTGAATCTCATAAAGAGAATCTAAACACAAATCAAAACATACTAATGCCAAGTTCAGCAAGGACTGGTAGCATGCTCCAGGGGAACCAACCTGGACACCTAACTCAGACCAGGCCAGAACCCTTCAACACGCCTCCCAGGCTGAATGTATACCTGTGGAGGAGGGCGTCAGGGACTCCAGAGGGAAAATCCAGCTCACCCCCCCGCCTATTGACTGATGAGTCACAAACAAAAGTGCAGTGTGAGAGAATTATGCTTTTTCTTTTCCTCTTTGTATTGAATTCATTGGGGTGGCATTTGTTAGTAGAATTATATAGGTTTCAGGGGTACAATTCTTTTTTTTTTAAAATATATTTTATTGATTTTTTACAGAGAGGAAGGGAGAGAGATAGAGAGCTAGAAATGTCGATGAGAGAGAAACATCGACCAGCTGCCTCTTGCACACCCCCCACCGGGGATGTGCCCACAACCAATGTACATGCCCTTGACCAGAATGGAACCCAGGACCTTTCAGTCCGCAGACTGACGCTCTACCACTGAGCCAAACCGGTTTCGGCTCAGGGGTACAATTCTATAATACATCATGTGTCTATTATATTGTTTGTTCATCACCCCAAGTTAGTTTTCTTCCATCACCTTTTGACCTTCTCCTACCTCCTCCCATCCCTCTTTCCCTTTAGTAATCACCAAACTGTTGTCTGTATCAATGAGATGGGTGTGTGTATGTGTGTTTTGCTAAATCCCTTTACCTTTTTCACCCAGCCTCCGGAATTAGGCCTTTCTGAGCTCATGTATGAAGAGTAGGTTTGAGAATATACAAAGAAGGGAAAACCCCACATTTTTTTACATTGACTCCCTGAAAAAGACAATATTAGTTTCCTACCAGTGATGTAAAACAACAAATCAGTCTAACAAAATGTTCACTCTGGAATTTTTATTTCAATGCATCTTTAAGCACTCATTTAAGAGCGCTTCCTAAGTTACCACTGATAGCTTTACCTGGGGATGATACTTGGTAGTTAGTTATTGTCACATTGTAAGGCCAGATTATTCTAAAAGATTACTCTAATGGTAGCAGTTATATCAGTTGAGACAGTTGGAACAAAAGGTAAATTAGGCTTCTCCTTAGAGCAGAGAGAAGAATGGCTTCTATGATTAACACCCTCTCTAGTCTTTTGGCAAAAGTGGTAATTGTAGGTGGTAGCAGTGACATGTTGAGAAGGGTTCTGAGGCCTTGTCCAGCCACTGTTTACCGTGGATACATCACAGAAAGTTAGTTTGCTACACCTAGCCTGGTGCCTCACATATGCACAGGCTTGACTAATAAAGAACGAATTACAGTCTCAAAAATCAATTTCAGAAGGAAAGTTTCCTGGCTGTTGAAAACAGCAAGAGTGGCTTAGAATTCTAAGGGATGAGAACAACAACGTGAGCATTGGTTTGCCTCTTTCCAAGCATGCAAGTCAACGGGCCTCAAGTTTGACTGGTTATTCTGCTATAACTTAATTTTAGACATACAATCAATAGCAGGGATATGGTATTCTGAGTATGGCAAAATGCCTAACTACTAAAACAAGCAAAATAAAGTTGTATTTTATAAAAATACAGATTTGTCTTTTTCTTTTTATTGTTTCACTTTTCAGAATTTCACCCAGCTACCTGGAGTTGGTGAAAGATGTGATACCCAAGCAAATCTTATAGCTAAAGGATGTCAAGTAAACTTCATCGAAAACCCTGTCTCCCAAGTAGAAATACTTACAAATAAGCCTCTCAGTGTAGGCAGACAGAAAAATAGTTCTGACATTGTTCAGATTGCACCTCAAAGCTTGATTCTTAAATTGAGACCAGGTACGTTATGACTGACATGAGCGTTGGAGCATGTAAACAAGTCTAAGATCACGTGGTAATATCGATATCACTGTTCTGCTCATATTCCTTGTACCACCTATTACAATACCACTGTTTATTATTTCCCTTTCCCATTCTTAAGGAAACAGAGAACTGCTTTTATTTATTCATATTGGTCACTTGTACTCCAAATGTGTCACTAAAAAAAGCCTTATCTAATAGTAACCATTTGAATTGCTCAAATGTTGTTAAGGTTTCCCTCACATTTCTTCAAGAATGTAATGTAATTTTAAACTCCTTTTCATTTTGCTCTCCTTTTCTAAAACCACATACAAAAAATTCAGCTTATCTCCCATCTAAATGGATGCTAGTCCTCCCAAGGAGATATAAAATATCCTAGCTCTTACCTCCTTCAGTAGCTCTAAACACTGCTGAAAGACTACCATGGGGTCATTCATTTATAAACTCTGCCACCTAGTTTATGAAATCTTCAGTATCTTCAGTAACTTCTTACTGAAATGAAATAGCCAGCTAGCCCAGTGATTGGCTAGTCACAAACATGTCTCTGCATATTTATGGGCTCACTTTTCTTGCGGGCTATTTGCAGGTGGTGAGCAGACACTACAAGTGCAAGTCCGCCAAACCGAGGATTACCCAGTGGACTTGTATTACCTCATGGACCTCTCGGCCTCCATGGATGATGACCTCAACACAATCAAAGAGCTGGGTTCCCTGCTCTCCAAGGAGATGTCTAAATTAACTAGCAACTTTAGACTGGGCTTTGGCTCCTTTGTGGAAAAACCCGTCTCCCCTTTTATGAAAACAACGCCAGAAGAAATCGCCAACCCTTGCAGGTAAGTAAATGATTCTCTGGAATCTTTGAACACTGATTTTCTGTAGAGATAGCTCCGCTCTGAGCTGCACTTGGCAGGAGCTTGCTAACTCCCTGGCATTTCCCCCCTGTCCGGTTAGATCTCAGCAGCTCTCTCAGTTGCCTGGGTTGTTTAGAACCAAGAGAAAGTCATCTTAACACATGGTTCTAGCCTTGGGTCCTTGCAGTATCTGTATCTCTGTGTAGGTTAAGATATGACAAATTTGGCTCTGTGTTCTGCAGACAAGGGGACCGAGTTTTTAGCTATGGGTTCCACTCACCTGTGCCCATGCCCAGCCCATTTAAGATCATCTATTCTAAATGATCACCACTTTCTGTGGCCATTTGACAGTAACCCAGTGTTCTCAGAGTCTCCACTATAATGACTTCTGCCAAAATAGCATGTTTTGCCACTTCCTTTGACATACTTAGGGAAATGTGGATTTTTCTTACTGATTGGAGAAGGTCTTTGTAGCCTTCACTGCTATCTAATTCATTACAAAATTGGGTGGTGACTCCATTATAATATGCTGTAACCAGCTATTAAAATAATGTATTATGCAGGTGGTGATGGTTGAAAGCGAACTGCTTTGTGATGGTTTACCTATAGAGTCAATGACATGTTCCAAATAAAAGTATTTCATATCCTTCTATGAAAAAGAACTATCATTTGGTTAGTACCAGGCCATATGCTGAAGGTCTTACATAAATGACACCCTTCAGTCTTCATAATAACAGCAAGTCAAAGCAGATTCTCTTCTCCTTGTTAGGAGGAAGTAACAGAGGCTCTGAGAGTTTAGGAATTTCCCCAAGGCCACATGACTAATCATGGATTTGTGCTAAGATCTGGGTTGCTCCAAAACCAAGCCCTTGACTACCATAAACCTGGCATATATGAAATAACTTTCCAAGCCTCCATTGTCTTTTAATACTTGTATGCACTCGAGCATCCATCTCTGTAAAAGACAAACAAGTTTAATACTATCACTTTAAAGACATTTCCATGTGATTTCCAACTAGAATCTGACATAACCCAAAATAATTTGACCGTGAAAGGAGCTCATTACTGATTGTAACTCTTGGGAGTTGTGTTTGCATTCAAGTACCAGAGATGGTGTCTGTCCCCACTTCCTTTTTTTACCTATAATTGACATATACTACAATGCACACATCAAAAATGTGCAATTTGATGAGTTTTGACAATGGGATATACCAATATAATCACTACCTGAAACATGATATAGAACATTTTCATCAACTCAGAAACTTCCCTGAGGCCTCATTTCAATCCGTTCTAGTTCACCAGAGGCAACCAATTTCTGGTTCCTGTAATTTAGATAGGTTTTTCCTATTTGGGGATTTTATATAAATAAAGTAATGTAGTATAAGCCTTCTGTGTTTGCCTTCTTTTGCTCAAAATAATGTTTTTGAGATTCATGCATGGTTTTGTGTTTCTCAGTAGTTTGGTCCTTTTTTTTTTAAGTAATAGTCCATTATATGGATTTATTATACTTTGCTTATTCATTCTTCCATTAATGGACATTATTTTGGATTGTTACCCATTATTTTGGCTAGCATGAAAAATGCTGTTATGATCACTTGCATATAATTCTTGGTGTAGATAGATGGACTTTTTATTTTTCTTGGATAGATAACCAGAATTGGAATTGCTAAATGGTATAAGTATAGTTTTAATTTTTTAAGAAATTATCAAATTATTTTCCAAAGTGGATGTGTAATTTTGCATTTTCATCAGCAATGTTATTCAAAATCTTTGCTAATACTTGGTGTAGTCAGTCTCCTTAATTTTAGCTATTCAAATAAGTATGTATCTCATTGTAGCTTAAATTGCATTTCCTTAATTACAAATAATGCTGAGCATCTTTTCATGTCTATATTTGCCATTCTTATATCTTATTTTGTGAAATGTTATTTCAAATATTTTGCCCACTTTTAAAAATCAGATGGTTCCTAACATTCTACTGTATATGTTCTTTATACATTCTGGATAAAAGTTCTTTATCAAAGTTCTTTATCTGTTTTGAAAATATTTTCAATCAGTCTATGGACTGCATTTTTATTTTTCTAGCAATACCTGTGGTCATGTAAAAGTTTTTAGTTTTGTCCTAACTGGTTTGGCTCAGTGGATAGAGTGTCAGCTTGTGGATTGAAGGGCCCTGGGTTCGATTCCGGTCAAGGGCATGTACCTTGGTTGTGGGCACATCCCCCATTGGAGGGTGTGCAGGAGGCAGATGATCAATGTTTCTCTCTCATCAATGTTTCTGACTCTCTGTCTCTCTCCCTTCCTCTCTATGAAAAATCAATAAAATATATATTTTTAAAAGTTCTTAGTTTGGATAAAGTACAATTTACCAATCTTTTATGAAATGATTAGTTCTTTGTTTTCATACAATAAATACCTTTATTTTTAAATGATCACTGAAAGTCAAAAGATCATGAAAGCATAAAAATCATCAAGTTTTTGCAAAGAGAGCTGGTTTTACTTTAACTTCCTTGGATGCTTAAGTTAATCCTCTCAGGAATGATATGAGAAAATCTAATGTCACCGGTTATTTTCTTGAGATGTTATCTGCCTGGTTAGTTCCTTTTTTGTCCTAAGAAATGTTTGTGAACCCCAATGTCACAAAGATGCTTGCTATGTTTTCTTTGGGAAGCTTTCCCATTGAAGTTCTTGGAGTTAGGACTATGACCTCAAAATATGTGTTTTTATTTGAATGAAGAAAAAGGCCTATGTTTCCATGCAAATACCTAGAACTATTTGTTAAGCAAGATTTTTCCTTTTCCCATTGAATGATCTTGATGCCCTTTAAAAAGAGCAATAGACTGAATATATGTGAGTCCAATTCTAGGAACTCTATTCTGATCCATTGATCCTTTGAATATAGTCATGTAACCCTAATGCCTTATAAATCTTTATTACTGTAGCTTTATTAAAAAGTCTGGAAATCTGGAGTGCAAGTCCAACTTCTTTGTTCTTTTGTTTGGGCTATTTTATATCTTTTGCATTTCCATAGTAATTTTAGAATCAGCTTGTCAATTCCTTAAAAAAAATATGTTGAGATTTTTATTAGAATTACCTTGAAACCACAGGTCAATTTAGGCAGAATGGACATCTTAAAAATATTGAATATTCCAATCATTGCACATGACATGTGTTTCCATAAATTTAGATCTTGTCTCATTTCTCTCAGCAATGTTTTGTCATTTTCAGGATAAAATCCTATGCATCCTTTGTTTAATTTATTGCTATGGACTTTGGAATGTTGTTGTTAAAGTTATTTTTTAATTTTATTTTCTAATTGTTGTTGATAACATATACAAATGCAATTGATTTTGCATACTCACTTTGTATCCTGCAACCTTAATACATTTTGTTATTAGTTCTAGTCTGACTTTTTGAAGATTTCTTAGGATTTTCTATATACATAATCAGGTAATCTATGGATAATAACTTCTTTCTCTCCAATATCTGTTCCTCTCTTTTGCTTGCCTTTCATGCTGGCCAGAATCTCTCGTACAATTTTAAATAGAAATGTTTAGAAGCTGCCCTTCATCTTGCTTGTGATCTTAAGAGGAAAGTTTCAACATTTCATCTTTAAGTATGTTGTTAGGTAGTGATTGTTTTTGTTGTTATTTTTTTTAATTCCCTTTATCAGGTCAGGGAAGTTTCCTTCTATTCCTTGTTTGCTAATCTTTTTAAAAATTACGAATAAATATTGATGTTTATTTCCTCAATTTAAAGAGTTTTGCCAGAAAATTTAAGAACTCCTTTCACTTGTGTATCCTTGGCCAGGACTTAGTTACATAGCCACAGCTAGCTGCAAAGAAAGCATGTTGCTACCCCAAATAAAATGAAAATTTTGTTAGTAGAGAAGAAAAAAAAAATGGATACTGAGTGACATCTGTCAAGTTCTGCAACACTGAACAGATTTCTATAGAGATAAAATGATTTGTATCCTCAAAAATGCTATATAATAAATAATAAGTTATGATTATCATTATCAATTATTTGACTCACTTGTAAAGGAAAATAAGCTTGGTGCTATCAGCCTCCTAACTCTTTATTATAAAAGCATTTCTAATGCTTCTGGCCTTTTAAAAAAAAAATCACAAAATGTTGTACCAGTCTAAAATTTCTGCATATTATCTTTCTCCTTCAACAAGCTTCATTAGAGAGTCTAGTAGAACAATTCTATCTAGCATTACAAAGTGCTATCTCTGCCCCAGGGGTTTATTTAAAATCATTTTTTCTATCACAGGTCAGATCAGATGTAGTAACATAAATTACAAAAATGACCATAGGGCCCCAACTGGTGTGGCTCAGTGGTTGAGCATTGCTAACCCATGAACCAGGAGGTTAAGGTTCAATTTCCAGTCAGAGCACATGCCCAGGTTGCTGACTCAATCCCCAGAAAGAGACATGCAGGAGGCAACCAATCAATTACTCTTTCATTATTAATGTTTCTATCTCTCTCTCATTCTTCCTTTCTCTCTCTGAAATTAAATTTTAAAAATTTTATGACAGTAGGGAACAACAGGTATGGAATGTTATCAGAAAAATATAAAAATTAACAAACTTGAATGCTTAGCTTAGCTGACAGCCCAGCATCTTGAATTAACAAGATCCTGTCCTTAAGCTTCTAGAGAAGGAAAGCAGTTTGGCATTTTGCAGCTTTGATTGCATTCCATTCATGCATTCATTTATTCACTCATCCATTCAACAAAAACTTACTGAGCTCCAACTATGTGCCAAGTATTGTGCTAGGCATGGGATTCCTGGGATAAAAAGATCTGGGCCCCGTCCTCCAGGAGCTGAAACCCTTCGGGAAGCAGACACAAGGTACAATGTGGCTAAGAGCATTTGGAGTCAGCCTGGATTAAGTCCAGATTCATCTACTCACTCCCCAGTGTCCCCAAAAGTGAATCATTTCTCCTCTCAAAGCTTCAGTTTGGCCTTAACTG